AGAAACGGGACAAGTTTGGGTACCTTTACTTTAAATTGGCACACTGGCACACTGCCTCGTTCTCGGTGAGAACCAAGTTCATAACATTTGGACAAGTGTACAGAGAGCTGTCTTCATCATGAATCATACTGAGTCGTGAGCTCACTGGAAAACACTGCGTCATCTATGCACGGGTTGGATCAGTCGCTGCGCGAAGCCCTGCGGCTTTGTGCCGGAGCGTGGAGGGCGCGTGCACGCGAGCTTGTGGCAAGCTTGGGTCCACCTGCGTGTCTATGGCGAAAGCGTACAGAGCGCCTTTGGTTGGCTCGAAAGTCGCTCGCAAATGCGAAGCCGGTGCGCGATGCACACTTTTGCGCCGGCGCGTGAGTAGACTTGATCTGCCTAGCCCGCATCGTCCAGTGATGATTGATGATCTCACCAATTCTCCAATGTCATGTATAGGAAACAACGTGTTTGATTGTGCTCGCATGCAAGCGCAGCTTCATCGATTTGGCATTCATCGAAGCTCTGACATGCCGCGCGCTTTGATGGCTATGGTCTATTCCTACACGGAGGCTGCTGACTTGCCTCTTTCAAGATGCCCCGAGGCCGTTCCTATCGCTGAGACAATGGCGCGGAAGCAGTAGCTTGCAAAGCCAAGTTGAACGCGTGGGTCTTCACCCGCACCTGCGCCATCTCTCCAAAGCTGCGCTGACATTGGATTACACTGCTGACGCAGTTCTGCGAAACCAGACCTGTGGGACAAGTAGTTGCATGCGTTGCTGGAGCAAAATCGACGTGACGAGTTGAACATTAGTCCTGTTGAGATCGTTGCTTCATGCTTCCGGATGGATATTTATGGATATTTTCTCAACTTTTGACCTTCAAACCATGGCGCGAATGCCCCGAATGTGCGTTTGCAGCATTGCAGGCGCCGCTCAAGGTGTCCGACGCGCTGCTGCGCCTGGACATGCCCACCCCTGCGAAGCTTTGTGCTGGACTGAGCCGTTTCCATGACCACCTGGAATAGGGATCGCGTAAAATATCAGGGCCAACCCAATGATTGGTTTTCAAAGAAAAAGGGAAGAAGGACGACCGCCCACAAGTTGGTGTCTCAACATAGGGGCCCCATTTTGAAACAGAACAGGTCACCTTGTTCAGGAAAGAACAGATTTCTCACAACCTTGAGAAAACCACGAAACCAAAAGCGTAGCTTTTTAGCTTTTTTTCCGACTCAATTCACATCTCCACAACGGCCGCTCTCTGAAAAGACAGTTTGACGCACACTCAGAGCGTCCCGCTCTCCATTGAAAAGGAAGGTAACCGAATCACCGCCTGGGGCATGTTGAATGCGATTCTAGAACGGCTCGGTTTCCTTTGGGTCGCCTGTGGCTGCTTTGCGAAGCTGTGGCTTCTTGCCCCAAGGTTTGATCAAGACCGGCCTGGAGCTCCCGGCGGTGCTGGCCATCCTGACCTCCGGGAGCTGCACGGCAGCTGAGCCCGCCTCGCCCAGCATCTCCGTGTCGAAGGTCGCCTGGGATCCCGACACGCGGCAGAGGGCCAGGACGGAGAGTGAAACATCCCGAAAGGAAGGCGAGAGTTCCCGACCAGAAAGACGATGTGGCCCTTGTCGACACCCTTGATTTTGCTTGCGGTGCCTCGCCAGGACCGCTTTTGGATCAGAACGGCGCAGGACAGGTCTGCCGGTCTGTGGTCCTTTTTGGAGTGATCCGCTTTCATTGGTTTGGCAGGGGAAGCCGAATCGACGAATCGAACGGCATCTTCAAGACTGCCAGGAGTTCGCCGGCAGTGCTCGCCAAGATTTGCAAAGACTCCTCCGTGCCGAACCTCACGAGCCTCTTGAAGATTCGCCGGCCAAAGGTGCAGAAGGCTGGGGACGGTCACTCGTATCTCGTCCTATTTGAGATTTGAGACACTCTCCGACGCTGAGAGGTGGGGACGAGCTCTTCACTCTCGCTGGGTGGCAGCTTCCTGGACGTCGCCCATCACAAGTCCGCCAACTCTGGCAGGAGCGATTCACATCCCCAAAACGCGGCCTTGAGCCATGTGAAAGTTTTACATTCCACTTTCATAGGGCGCTCGCGTGTTTTTTCTTCTTTTTAATGTTGGGGCAGGTGGCATGTAGCCCGCCTTGGTGCAAATGGTGCAAGTCTTCCCTAAGCGGAAGATTCTGGCAGCCGGACCCAGACAGCAAGCGGCATCATATGATGCTCTGCCAGGCTGCTGACGGGAAAATCATCGCGGCTGATTTCTGAAAGCCTGGCCTACAGCGCTCCAGATGCACATAGGGCAATGGATTGGGCATAGGAGTGGGAGGCGGAGTTGGTCAGGGTTTTCAACACCTGGGTGCGCTGAGGGCTTGTGTTGTACTTTGTGTCTGGTTTCCTTCGCTTTCTTGAGGCACACTTTCAATGAGAGCCGAAAAAGCACGGAGCGTCCAGGCCTCGACTCACATTTCGACATTCTACACATGGAGCAGAAAGAAGTCAGCTGCCAGCACCGAGCTCAGATGCGGACATGGGGAACTTGGGGGGGAAGATACATCTCATTTTTCATTCTTTTTGTGTTTCACAGGGCTTGTTGCACGCGCTTTCCCAACTTGTGATCCTTACGAACCGTTGCATTCTCGAGATGTATCTTAGCTCTGACTTGCACGGGCGGGAGTTGAGTCGGGCGAGGACCTGTCCAGTGGAGCCCAACAGTGTGGCCTGTCAGACGGACGTGTGCTGCGGTGAGCTGGGCTGGGAGTGCAGGCAGAGGGAGCTGCGTCGCGATCTCGTTTGGCTCCTCTTTTCCTCGCGTCGCGGGGGTGCGACGTCCGAAGTGAAGGTTCCTTTCTTCGTTCAGTTTGGAACCTGATGATTTGCGGTGTGAGCTCTTCGCTCGACCGCAGGCGCTGCGCGCGGCCCCCGCGGCCCAAGCCCAGCGGCAGGAAGCGCTTCGCCACCGACGGCGCGGAGCCCAGGGCCGGGGCACGGGCTCCGCCGGGGCCGCTGGGACGCCGGCGCGGCACGTCGCCGTTGCGGCGTTGCGGCGTTGCGGCGCAACAGCTCCGAGTCAAACCTCGAGAAACGGAGTGGGGCACCTTTGATTAAGGCGATGCCGCGGACCTGGAGGAAGTATCTGAAAGAGAGGCCGGGTGCGAGATGAGCGAGATCAAGGGGCAGTTTGCCTTGACTCAGACATGGTTTCGTGGCTTTTTTTCGCGGCCAGCTCTTCAACAACTTTGCTTCGCCGGCAGAGGCCCGTGGTGTCTGACATGGGTGCCTCTGGCTCTCTGGCTGCGCCAGGCCTTACTTCATGACATCCAGGGGATGTGGACCCTTCACCAAGGCGGAAGCCTTCCGCTTGACTGAGTCACTGGGGGGCCCGGACCGGCGGATGGTGTGCATTTCGAGTCAAGCGGACTGAGCGGCGAGGCCCTGACACCACAGCTTCCTGGCTGCGCAGCTTCTTGGTGAGGGGCCGCGTGGCCGAGTCGGAGGAGGATTGGCTGGAGATCCGCATTCAAGACGACACGGTGTACATGGCTGGCGGGGCTGCTGGGCGGCACAAGGGCGGAACCGGGCCCAAAATACAAGATGCTTTTCCAAGGAACTCTCTCTTGATGAGGACGGCGCATCGAAGCAAGATAATTGTTCTCCATTTAGCCGCAGCATGCGTTGCTTGATCCTTAGGGTCCTTGTAACTCTTTCATTCCTTGGCAACTCGCAGGAGGGTCGCCTCCACCGATTTGGACAGTCAGGGACTCACCTGGTCTACACCAGGCGCCGGTGCTCCAACTTGCTTTGAAGCGGATTCGGATCCTGAGACACGGCGCCATGGCCCTCGTCGATTCGGTCAGTTCGCTTTGAGGCTGGATGAGCCCCCTCCGAGCTCTTGACCGGAATTGGCGTTGGTGAGCTGCATGCCAAGTTTTAGTTTTTTTCTTCTTTTTCTCGGTCCAGCATCCGAATCAAGTTCGAGCTGGTTGTCCTCATGTCCTCACATAGCGTATGGAACTTCGCTGCGAGATTGTACAGTGGCCGGAATGGCCCAAATCTTTTGGAGTTTTACTAGGAGGAAATGCAATGGTACAGCCATATTTATCATATCGCGCCTCGCCGTGATTCGTGTGACATTTGAACGTTGGTATGCGTTTGGTGTATTTTCAGTTGGCATTGATTCAGCTTAGATGTCGAGCTGCCATACTGGATTGGACTGCTTTGGACGTCGCATTTGTTCCCATTGCGGATCACGGCTTGTGGCTTGCTTTTCAATGGCTGGTGATGGCATATGCTTCCTGCCAATGAATCTCAGGCTCACTCCGTCCGGTAGTTCCCACGAGTGTTCGGCTATGCATCGAAGCCGTGGGTCGCAACCGGAGTCTCTGCCGGCATTCTCTGCCGGGTTCAGGAAGGATGCTTTTGCCTTGGCCCCAACAGGGCTTGAGAGAGAATTAATTAATCGCAGCGCGGGCTTGAATTCACATTTTGCAGTCCTCGCGTGCCACACGAAAGTTGACGGAAACCAGCAGAGGGACCAAAGCCGGCTTCAGATTCAGAAGCTGGAATTACTCCCTTGAGCTGACAGGTGCAGGCTGAGTTGGAAGGCCTTCCAGCAATGTAGATACATGGGAAGAAAAAGAACCGTTTGGTGGGCTGGCTCAAAAGGTCCATCTTCACCTGGATTTCATGAGTTGAAAGTGGTAGAAGCTGGGCATAGAGACTTTGAGCGATTTTGCCACCCTACGTTTGAGGAGTGGGTAGAGCTTGGACCATACTGTCTTGACATGCGTTCAAGAGAGCGAGTTAAGCAACCCAGCAGCCCGAGCATCGAGAAACTTGCTGGGAGGCTGAAAGCCAGGTTGTTTGCCCCGAACAAACCGGGCTGGCAGGCAAGAAACCAAAATCCTTAGGACAGTTTGCAGTTTTTCCCATTGGTTGAAGTTTCTGCGCAGGCCCATTTTCCCATTTGAGTCGATTTTCGTTTTGGCTGCTGAACAGGGAGGGAGCTCTGAGGTGATCATCATCGCATTCTCCTGGATCCCTCCGGCCATCGTGGCCTATGTGGTGAGAGAGCGCGAGGCGGGCGCCGGCCAAATTCCCGGGCTAGGCCAAGGACAAGGCGCGTGGTTTTAGTTTCTTCAGAAAACCGCAAGTTATTTGCGCTTTTCATCATGTGAAGCACGCAACAAACAGCTGTGCTGCGTGTCTATCTATCCATCCATGTACTTGAGCCTAAATACTTAACGCCTGGGCAGGATCCATACATGGACAACAACGAACACCAGTGAGGTGAGTAAGAATGATGGTGCAAGCACAGAAAACTCCGGGCGTCAGCACCGATTTAAGGGAGAGGGTGCCCGCCTGCATACTGCTGAGAAACTCAGAACAAGTGCAACTTGCCATCACAGAGGACCAACTGGAGCAAGCAGCGCCAGACAGGACTGGGCGCGCTCAGTGGAGATTTGCATGTCCTCTAGGTCAAATCCCATGGCGCATCAACATGCGCAGATCAAACCAAGGCGACGGTGTTGAAACATGTTAATTACCACTTGGCGCAAGAACCATGGGCTACCTCACCCTTTCGAGAAAAGGCTTGAGCAGAACTTTGCAAGTACGGCCACCGAATGAAACGGGAGCTCCCCTACAGCAACACGACAACGTGCGAAGACCAGATCACAGAGCGGCTTTGCTGCAATTTTTGCCAAACCACGAGTTGCCACAAGCAATGGCGGAGAAAGTAACAGCAGCCAAGGACCACCCATTACCAGCGAAGAGGCAGGCAAGGAAAGGGCAAGAGCAAGGCATTGCAACGTTGAAAAGGCTACAGCAGCTACAGCGACACACCGCACCCGGAGGAAAAGGTGACCGACGCAACCAGCGAGCAAGATAAGGAAATCCCATGCGACAAGGATGGCGCAACACGAGAACAAAGGGAAATAAGGCATATATTTCTGCGACAAGAGCGGAGAGGCAGACACATGGCCGAACCATGCAGAGTAGCAACCTACCAACACGACGACGGCACTGCTTGGAACATCGACCTCGCAGACGATGACACAACAACCGGCACTACAACAGCAGCTGTTGCATGGACCAGACACAGATGCGTGAAGGCGATGAGCGCGCACCATTGAGCTGTTAAATCGGTCTGCATGAACACGCACGCAGACAACGCTCTGTCATGCCGTTCTACGTGTGTGTCGGCAAGCGACTGATGTTGTCAGTTACAAGATTGGTACAACACTGAAAGATACGCGACAAGGCCTTGGCGGCGTCGCGGCTCTTTTCGCATGAGTGAGGGCCTGCGCAGAGCGGATAGCGTCGCCCGCGCACATCGAACCCGGGAGAGCCGGCGAGAGCGCGCAGCTTCCGCTCCGCGCTCTTCAGCTTCGCGGCGCCCGGTATGCGTGTCGTTCCGTGTCTTTCCTCCACTTCGAATTCATCTCTTGATGATCAGTCTGAGGCGTGTTTTCCACTGTTCCTCGCCTGGCTTCTGTACAAGGTCTTGAGCCTGGTTTGAGCCTACATTGACCGGAAGAGCACGAGGAATGTACAGCAGGGTGGGCGGCAGTCACACCGCGGGTCTTTCTCTTCACACGCAGGTTGCCGCAACTTGTTCCTTTCCAACAGTGTATTCCTTTGCAGCGATAATGGCGACTATTCAGGCTGCCCCCCCATCCATTCGCCATGTGTTGAAATTTTAAGAGGCGCACCACAACTCCAAGCACCAGCAGCTCATATCCGGCGTGAGCATTTTCGCGTGCCACCCCCGATGACTTTCAGCGGGTGGGTTGAGAACAGGGGATTAAATAGAAAGGCAAATGTGTTACAGCTTAGGGCTTCAGGAATCTTCCGTGGATTGTTCCACAGCATTGCTTGTGGAAGAAGTTGGTTTAACTAGGTGCCTTCTATGTTTCGCAACAGAAAACAGAATGTCCGGAGAGTTGAAGACATCCCCTATGGGGTTGAACACGTTGGGACCTATGGGAATCCTGTATGGTCGCATGTGCAAGAGTGTCCCCGAAACCTCCGGAGGCTTTTCGTTCGAGGCCTGGGCTCATATTTGAAGGGACTCGTTTTGGAGTTGGACAGAGGCCAAGTGAAAAGCGCATATTGTATTTTTCCGTGGAATCGGGTACACGTTGATTTATTTCGGACCTGGGTGCAAGGTACTGGACCTCCAACTTCCTGTGGGATGTTTGCCTCTATGCCATGAGCTGAGGGGCTTTCCGGTCGCGATGTCAAATGCACGCGTCGGGCTTCGAGCGAACCTGGGAATGAGCCGAAGTCAAAGCAGTAGGTTGGTTGGGGCCTTGCCCGCCCACGGAACTGAGCCACAAAGCTCGGGGATCTCGGGTAGCGGAAGATTTGCAAGGGACAGACCCCAGCAATTGGCATCGAGCTGGATGACATTCCCCACATTCCCTTGAATCGCCATAGGGCCGTTTCCCCACATCTATTCACCAACAAGGAATATTTTTAGGGGTTCATATTCCTCAAATGGGGGGGTGGGGGGCAGAGAAAACTTGGCTTCACCACCTCGACCACTCATTCTTGCGGGTCCCAGGTGCTGCCTTTGGGTTTCACCATGCTCTTCCTCCGCCTCTTTGGTTGAGACCTCGGAGAGGGTCAGCAGATCGTGACTTTGGCCCCAGTGCTGCGATGCTGGTGATGCTGGCAATGCCGGTGATGCTGGTTGATGGTGGATGATGGGTTAAGACGATCTTCCTCAACAGCAGTCCTGCGCCGCACGCCTCCACAGCATGGAGCTCCAAAGTCTCGCACATGGTTTCGAGCGGCATTCCCAGCAGATTGCGCTGTCTTTGCCTAGGCCAAGAATGGATGCCAAGCAACACGCATTCTCAACCCTGATGCCTGCCTCCAGCACACATAGCACCAAAGTACCTGATGCACTTTGCGTGACCCATCAGCGCAGCAAGTGTAGCTCTCTGTTTGTATTTGGGGTAGAGCTCTGGCTAGGCCCAAGTTTTGTAGCGAAATGGCGACATGTGTGCAGTGCAACGAGGCTGAGGATCCTTTGGAGAACACTTGTAGTCCGACCGAGTATCTAACAATCAGCTTTGACCCTGGGTGATCTATGTGCTACTCGTAAACCACGACCGCGTGCTGGGTGTACCTTACAACGGTCCACCGTTTGGTGTCGTATAGTTGGTGACAGACGTCAGGATGTCCGGTTTGCGATCTCATCTTGCACATGTAAATTTGCTCCCACAAGGTGCGTGAAGGGGTGTCGCAGGTCCATGTTCTCTCTCTCTCTCTCTCTCTTGCTGCTGGAGTTGTGCTTTGCGGTGGTGTACTTGACGCTTGTGCAGGTCTTTCCAGGTGTTGTGCAATTGCTCCACTACCATGAAATCCCGATGTGCAAAACATGTGATGTATCTCAAATAGCTGTATCAAAGTCGAGGCCCTGTAACACAATGGTGACATTTGTGAGATGTGCTCAGGCTGCATGCGCGTTCAAGGATTTGTTCAAATGCATTGGTGCACAGCTTGACGAACTTGAGGTGCTTGACCCTTGTGCCTATTTCAATACCTGCAGTTTGCTGTGCAAGCTCCACCTGAAAAGCACAATGGCCGGACTAATTTGCATCTTGAGCACTGTTAGTTTGCCCTTGCCAATTTGCGCACTGGGTTTTTCTTTGTGATTCATAAAGTCTTTTGGATTCAGAGAAACCCGTGACTTGCTTCGCAGGTTCCGGCGAAGCACCCAAGGTTTGTCGAAAGGTTGCCCTGTGTTTCTTCCGGACACCCCTTTCTTTGCGGGTGGCTTTTTCAGTTTCCTTCTTGCTGAGCCCTCACAAGGTCGTCAGTTTGGGACGGACCTTGGCCTGGCTTAGTGAGGCATCAGCGCCTTTGTGGACCATGGGGCCTTCTGGGCCAGCTTCGTGGTCTTCGCAGGACGGGTTTTGTGCCGAACCTGCCGAACCCGTTTTGACCGCCGTCGCTTCATCTCAAAGTTGGGTTGAGGGGCTCAGAATTCCGACATTCGAAGCCGAAGTCTCTGAAGTAGGCAAAATCTGAGCTGAAGGATATGGGCTCGCCATCGCTCCCTTCTCATATTTGCTCCTTGCCTCAGCGAATGAACCCCCTCCTTCTCCGTTGTTTCACTCTCTCTGAGGTTGTCCTTCCTCTTTGCCAAGCACACCTCGGCGCAGATCATTTCTTTGGCTCGCGGCTTAGTTGGGCATCGGCACGCGCTCATCTCTTCAGAAGCAAGTTGGCCCCTTGTGTGCTTTGTGCAGACCCTACCCAACTCGACCGGACATCACAGCCCGGCCGGTATAGGTTCAGATGTAATCCGTCTCCATGACTGACACTCATGTAGTCACAGCAGCTCTCCGCTTGCGTTGAAAGGAAGGGTATGACCTGTGGCACCGGGACTTACCTCTGTCCGTTGTCCCTTTGCATCCAGGTAGTTGTACGTTTGCATCAAGTTGCAGCCGTACTTGAACACGCTTTCTTCAACTCTCGGCTCTAGATGGCCTTCTCGAAGGTGCCAGGATGTCTCAACGCACCGGACCCTTCTGAACGTCTGCGATGGCTCGAAGTTGACTTCGATCTTCGTATTGGAAATCGACTGATCGATTGCCTCTTTCCCAGGTTGTGAACTTCCTGACCGGCCTCCTCCTCATGCTGACCTCGTACATCCTGAACCTCATCCAGAGCACCAAGGCCTCTTTCTTGTGATGGGTGGATGGATCAGGGACGGGCTCGCCAGGATGTGAACGAGTCGCTGATGTGGATCTACCGGCTGTTTCCAGGATTTTGCCTTGGACATGGCCTCTTCGAGATGCTTGGCTTGAAAGTTCGGGTGTCCCTTAGGAGGGACTCCCGCTTGATGGTGTTTTCGGGGAAATGGACAGCAATCAGCATTCGGGGTCCCGTGTTTAGGAAACACCTGCAGCTGATGCAAGTCGCTCTAAGCACACAATAGCGCTTTCAAAAGGGGCTCAGAAATGGCGGTTTGCAGCTTAGACTCGTGCGCAATGCTCTGCAAGGATTTGCACCAACTCTGTGCTCGCAGAGCAGTTCAACTTGGACGTGGCGCTGCTGGGATGGGATGTGGCGGGGAAGGATGCCCTCTTCCTGTGCGCCTTGGGCGAGGGCTTTGGTGCAATCGGCATGAGCCAAGCATTTGGAGGGCTCCCGTGCGAAACACGGCAATCGAATGGATGACAATTTGCCTTACACTCAAAGCCTCCTGGTTGCTGCTTCAGAAACCTCATCGCCTTGACAATCCGAAACATGTCTCGCAATGTGGGTTGCTTTTCAAGTAGAATCCACTTGAATTGAAGGTACATAGCGGCACCTTTCTACTTCGTCCTGGCAGTGCGGGGCGCTCATTGATTTCCTTTGTTTGCTCTGGTATGTCCAACACACTAACGGAACGACACGCAGCAGGACTTGCAACAGGCATAAAACAAAGGGGAAAACAACAAGCAACAAAAACAGTGAGGAACCCCGCTTCCCATGGCGCAAGTCGCCCCGTTGTTTCATCTTTTCAAGGCTCATCGACTTCTTGCTGCATTCGCCCCTGGCGGCGGCCTCGCGGCACCTGGACCCCAGCGTGCAGGAGGAGGTCGTGGAGGCGCGGCACTTGGGGTTCCCTGCGCTTGGGGACGTTGGGGTAATCGATGGTCTCCTGGTGGCTTGGAACAGTCTGGGCCGATGGGCGCCTTAAGGAAGCATCAGGGCCGAACGCACAGGACGACGCCGACGTGGCGGCGGAGGCCCGACGGGACCGCTCTGGCGACATGGTGCGCCTGGAGGGCTTGCGCAAGGCGCGTCGCTGAGCAGGTTTGTGGCATAGTCAGACCCCTTGGTGTTTCGAGGGATAATGGGAATGCTAGGGAGTTTGACAACCGAGGCAAAGGGTTCCACTCAGGGAACCATGACCAACACAGGCTTGCCTTGAAATTAGGGACCCGGAAATGGTTGCTTGTTTTCAGCAACCAAAGAAGGTTTCATGGGGTTTGAAGCGATGGTCAAGTTTGCTTGGAGCTCGCTTGCCAGGTCTACCGAACGCCGGAGGGGGCGCCCAAGGCCACGCGCTCAAAGCCAGACCCTCGAGAGCGCAGCGGCGCTTGACAGGTGGCCGTCCACGGGCTCAGCTTCGGCCTGCAGCGGGGCGAGTGCTTCGGCTTCCTCGGCATCAACGGAGTTCCTTGGAGCCATGAGCCATTCGAAGAGCTTGGGGGAGAAGCTGGCTCTCAGAGCGAACCTTGGAGACACCTTGCCCTTGTGACACTTGCCTTTTGTTTTGCTTGCGCGTTCCGCACTCGCACTGCGTGTGGCTCAAATTCCCAGCCCCAAAGGGCGAAGGGCCGAAGCGGCCGAAGCTGGGCCCCCCGGGGCGCCTGGGTCATGCCGCAGGCGGCTCCGTGCTCTCGCGAGCGCGACGGAACTGCTCGGCTCGGCAGGTGGCGGGCGATGCCTGGCATGAGCCTCGGGACCGCCCGTGGCTGTGTGAGGTGTATACGGCTTGCCGACTTTTGCCGACTTTTGCCGACTTTTGCCGATGTTTGCTGATGTTTGCCGCATCAAAGTCGCTGATGCCTTTGGCAGGGGGTTCAAATGAACCGAAGATGAGCAAAGAGCGCAGATTCCTTGACACATTCTCCCAAACTTCGTTCTCCATGTTGGAGCTTCCAACTTCCTTTGGCTGGGCTCAAGTTGACAGGAGCGCGACATGCCCGGCGTCCCGGACCACGGCTCGGAGGAGCACCCCCACCACGCCCCCGTGCTCAAGGCCGGGTGCTTTGGGCTTTTTGCTTTTCGGGCAGTGGGGGTTCCAAACTGAAACCCGTGTTTGGGCTCCATTTGGAGAACTTGTCGCTGCAAGTTTTTCTTGTCATGGGAACCATGACCCTGACATGAGGGAAAAAATGCAGGCGCATGTTGTCGGGCCAAAGTCTCAGTTGTTTCCTTTGAAGGTACGGGGTGTGGTCCGGAAGTTTTGGACTTCAAATGGGATTTCCTTCTGATGGAAGGTTGCAGGGGTCGCGACATCTCAGCATTTCCCGAGCTCCAAGGAGTCCCCCTGTGGTTTGTCACGGGCTTCCCTGAAACCCGTGGGACCCGTTCGGAGAGTCCGGAGTCCGGGCACTCGAGTGCCCGGCCATGCGCTGCTTGGACAGGAGGTTCGTGACGAGAATCTCCATTTCCAGACCGCCCAGGACAAGATGGCCAAGGCAACTGATTCGGGCCATGGTGACCTCCTCTTTCGTCTTTCACCCTCGTGGGAAGCCAAACAAGCCCCCCGTACGAACAACACTGGCTTCTTGAGGCAGATGGAAACTAGTTTGATTGAGAGTGGTTGCAGTGGCTGCAGGCATACGACCTGCACCTCGGCAGTCGATCACGCCAAGTCACATGTCAGCTTTGCTGGGCATGCATCTCAAAAATCATCAAAAATCTAAGAGACCGCGAGAGAGCCAAGGAAGATGACTCTTGGTGGCAAGGCCGCGGAAATACAAGCCGCAGCTTGCCACGAGACCTCGAGCGGACGACATACGTGTGACCAGTCAAAACGTGTTTACTTTCGGAGACATCGGCCCTTAGGCGCTGAAAATGGATCCCAACAGCTTCACCGGGAAGCGACTGGCGCGGACCTGAGCTCGGAGCTCTCGCGGGAGCCATCGCCCTTTGATCTCAGGTGGCGCATCGATGCCTGGCAGAAGTGGGGGCTGTTCCATGGGCATAGCGGCATAGCCATATGGGAGTTTGATGGAAATTGGGAATCACGGAATAAATACCCCCCAAAGATCCAGCAGGCCCCACTTGGAAGGGCCAGATCTCGAGTGTCGAGTCTGCCAGTCGATTTTTGTGTTTTCGCGTGACGCGCATTCAGAATGGCTGTCCTGGTCGGGCTTCGACACCTTGATCGGAGTGGTGATCCTGGCGAACGCAGTGCTGCGGGCTGCAAAGCATGAACACCCCCTCTTTGTGTGTGAGTTGGAGAAGGTGTGTGTGTGTGTGTGTGTGTGTGTGTGTGTGTGTGTGTGTGTGTGTGTGTGTGTGTGTGTGTGTGTGTGTGTGTGTGTGTGTGTGTGTGTGTGTGTGTGTGTGTGTGTGTGTGTCCGTGTCCGTGTCCGTGTCCGTGTCCGTGTCCGTGTCCGTGTCCGTGTCCGTGTCCGTGTCCGTGTCCGTGTCCGTGTCCGTGTCCGTCTGTCTGTCTGTGTGTGTGTGTGTGTGTGTGTGTGTGTGTGTGTGTGTGTGTGCGGCACCGACATGAGTGTCAACAAGGTGATATGTGAATATTCCTGTAACTGGGAGGTGGGGGAGGCGGGATCTGATAGGTGGTCATTGGCATCGAGTCCCAGCACAGCTCCAGCATGCCGTTGGGCTGCAGGGGCGACTGCATCTGTGAGGCCGGGCTTGAGCTTTCAAGACACAAGGTCTTTGCACGTCCAAAAGCAAGTCGATTTCTCCAAGAGAAGACAGAGCTTCAGCCCAATTCGGGGTCTTGCAGATGTGGTTTTCGAATTTCTGGAAAATTGAGCTCTTTAAACGTGTCCAAGAAGGACATCCACACCAGAAAGCGAAGGTTGCAAAGACCGCAATTCCTTACGGCAGGGAGAGCTGAAAGGAAGCAGCTTTGGGAAGACCGGAGCATGTGCCAGTGCACGTCACTTTTCTCGCCAGGACCAAGTGGATCCATCGCTGACTTGCACACAGCTGCCCATTTGGATTACCGTGGCGGCACGACCTGCATTCTAGCATGGGCACCCCCGCAGATGCATCGCGTCTTTTCACGAAAAAGCGCCCGCCAAGAAATGCAAATGCAAAGGTAGACTATGTCTTCTACGCCATCTACTTGTTCGAGCTCGCCTCGCGCATCGCTGTGTACGGGGTCTTTGTGTTCAAAAGCCATTGGCCATTTGCCTCAATTAGTGCCGATGTGGGCTTCATTTCCAGCTCTGGATGAGTGGCTGGTTGGGTCGCGCAAGGCTCGATATGCGGGTTTTTCAAGGAATCGGACTGGTTGGCGTCCTTTTGGTGTTCCTCTAAACAACATCTCCAGTTTTGGGACACTGCGAAACGGACACTGACCTTTGGATCCATGGAGCAAGAGGTGAACCGTGATCAAAATAGACGGTTGAGGTTTGGAAGTCGGATTTTCGCCCCCTTATGCTCTTCCGAGGATCAAGTTCGACACCTTCCTGGTGACTGCTCGGGGCCCAAGTGATTGGGGCACCCGAAAGTTCCGGGACAAGGGAGGCGGGTTTTTTCCAAACTAGCAAAGAGCCGGCCCAAATGAGATCGGATACTTTTCAAGTTGTGTACGGATTCGGAACGTTTGCCACACAGCTAGGGGGCACTGACGTTCCCATGTCGATTGCAAGCAGCATATGTTTTCACCCTGGCTGACCTGGCTGACCCCCAAGAAGCACTAAGAGGCGTCCCTTGCCCCGTGCCTTCCCGCAGTCACCTGGACAAAAAAAGCAAAATCACCGCCCGAAGCACCGGGCGCATCTTTCTCGTCCGGCTTTTGGGACGCGGTCGGGCATCGGAGGCCTCCACAGTGGACATCATCGTGAAGTTGGTGTCCCAGAGCGAGGTACTGAACCAGCTCATGCTGGCGGCCTCCTCGGACGGGGGGGGGGGAACGTGGACGTGGGTTGCGTGGTATGGGAGGAAAAGAGGCCGGAGGGGGAAAATGTGGAAAGGAAGAAGCTGGGGGCCCTTCGCTAGAACGGCGCCTGATCATTTTTTTGCCGTGGGAATCGTGGCCACTTGATCAGACAATTCAAGACTCCTGAGGCAACATGGAATTCTTTGGGGCCTTTCGGGGAAGCTTGGAAGCGCGTGGCTTTGTGGCTATGGAGCTTCCAGCCGAGGTGCGCCTGCTGCGTTTGGCCCGATTGGCAAGGCCCGGTTTGCTCTACGGTCGTTGGAATTCGAATTTGGGGCATTGCAGGCTTGGCGTGAAGTCAGAAGCCGCGTTCCCCTATTAGGGGTTCCAAAAAAACCTGAAAACGCCGTGCCTCGCGCGCCGCGCGCCGTCGCGGCTCGGCCCCGCTCGCGAGGGCGCTTCGCTTGATGGTCCAGTTCCAGACGCTTTGGCAGCTTGTCCAAGGCCCGACGGACGCGTGCGGATTCACCATGTGAGCCACATTCAACACCCGGGTAGATGAAGGTTAGGAAGGGACAATACCAATCATAAATAGCTGCGGCCGCCTTCTTGATTCTTTGCATGGTTCTGGGTAGACCTTTTTAGTACCGGGTTTTGATTATGACTCATTTGGGGGGGGGGCAAGCGATAGCGATGCCCAGCTTCAAGCACAAGTTTGGGATTAGACCCCAACACGAAGCCAGAGCAGAAAGCAAGATCTGTTTGGACGAGAAGAGCTGTTTGCCAGGACTTTTCCACAGCATCGGCACCATCATGTGGACGTTTTTGCTGGCCGGCCCCTGAGTCGAGGTCGGCGAGTCATCTTAGCTCCCTTTTGTGGCTCACAGGTCATGCTGCTGATGTACATCGCCGCGGTCACGGGCATGGAATTGATCAAGGTGGATCCGAGCTTGCCCGTGGATCACCCGCGCCCTGGCTGGGAAATACATGCGGCATGAGTTTTCGTCAGCTCACGTGTGAGGTACAACGAAATAACGGCGCTTTGCTTCCAAGACCTCATGGATGCCATTCTGACGCTGCTCCAAGTGTTCAGCACCTTGCTAACACTTCACAGCTGCCCAGACCAGTGTTTTAGTGGTAACCTGGTGTGGCAAGGTTTCGACAGCATCGGCGGGGTCTACCGTCCGCTGGTCAAACAAAATATATTTTGCCTTGCCACTCGGCCGCAGGGATGCAAGGACCCAATCCAGAACTCTGTGCACCGATTTGCACCCGTTGCACTTGAGTTGTACTTCGTGCTGGCCATGCTGATCTTGTCCATTGCTTTGATGAATCTCGCGCCTGCCCTAGTACCATTGGAGGGGCCCCTCTGCCACGGACCGGCCTCGAACTTGACAAGCCGGCGCGGCTTTGTGCAGGTGACCGCTGTCATGGTGAACTCTTCCTTGGACCAGGCCCCCCTTGTTGTTCAGGATACTATGAGGCGTACCAACTTGAGCCACAGGCAAAACCCGGTAGTTCACGGTTCGGGGACATTCCCAAATAGAAGCTTTGGCCCTTAAGGCCCCTTGCCATTTGGTTTCCGGCTTGAGGCAGTCCCACTCTGAGCGAACGGGATGGGACTCCGGGACTCGGTTCTGGCTGTTGCCCAAAATGAAACAGCTGGGGTTTTCTAAACATTTTCGTCGACCTTTCCATTTTCCTATTTTGGACCCTATTTTTGGACCCCTTTTCTGTTTACCTTTCCGTTTCGGAGCCGGATTTTGGAGCCAGCAGCAGCGCGCGAGGCCAGCCAGGACAAGGAGGCGTTCAAGGCCTGGGAGGCGGCCGCCAAGGCGAAGCAGATGGAAAGCCTCAAGAAGATGCCCGGGCCTCGGCTCGCTTTGGACCAACTCTTGGCCGTTTTGGGGTGCCTTCTTTCGGGTGGCCTTTTGGAGACTGGCCTTTTTTCGAGTGGCCTTTTGGAGACCAAGGCCTTTTTTGGCTGTAGGACCCCAACCACTTGTTAGCTGAGAGTTGCTGTTGGAACTCCACGATCCCTCCCAGGAAGAGCGGAGAAGTGTTTGATGGAAGCTGGGGCACACCCCTCAAGCCATGTGGCTGTGGGTACAAAATAGGTACCCCAAATGGCTTCCAATTCCTGGGGTCCAATTGGTTGAATTTTGAGCCTCAAGCCATGTCCGACGTGCTCCACAAGCTGTGGCTTCGCTCAGGTTCCTCGAGCTGGATGAGGACGGCTCCGGCGAGCTGAGCGTGGAGGAGCGCCGCACGTGCTATTGTTTTTTCCGCCTCGGGGGGTCTTCAAAAAATACGTCCCACGGTGCAGTCTTCTTTTTTTTGGGGGCCCAAAAAGCCGTTCGGATTTTTTGTTGGGGGATGTGGCCGCTTGGTTTTTTTTGGCCGGAATCCGTGCGAGGAGCTGTTGGACGCTCCGGAGGAAGCCCAGGACCAGCTGAAGGAGATCGCAGGGAGCGGGGATCTGATGAGCCTCGGTTCAAGCATCTGTGCGCAGACTGACCGGTTTCTGACGCGTCAGTCAGGCTCACGTTTCTAATGTCACCCTCTTTCCGCATTCCAACTCAGGGAGCTCTTCAACTTGCTGGATTACGACGGCGGCGGCACGGTGGGGGTTGAGGAGTTCTGTGAAGGTGTGCTGAAGGCGTGGACCATGTCGAAGGTCTCAACATTTGTTGGGGTTCCCCCAGATATTGCCAAACAACTGCATCTTCGCCAGGCCTCGTCCAGCGCGCCCGGCACAATCGAACTGGGGAGTCTGGTGAAGCAGTGCGCGGAGATCATGCGGCCTGGCCTGAGACAAGCTCGTGGAAGCTCGTAGTTTTGTCAAACTATATGTATATATATATATATACAAGACACATGTACGGCATTACATTACATTACAATGCATAACTTACGTTACATTGGAGTACACACATACACACACACACACATGTGAATATAGAATGTCCTTGCATTCAGTGATGATCTGGGATCCTGAACTTGCGGGGCATCCGCTTCCGTGCTAAGGAAGAATAGCCGTGAAGCGGTTACACTTCTCAGCGAGAAGGGTCAGGAGCCAGAACCAACCAGAGGGACACCAAATGAGGGTGATGAGGATGAAACAAACAAGGGCACGCGCCAACAGCGCATCCTGAGTCAAGAAGACAACCGATTGTGTATGAAGTGGTGGACATGGTTTGTGACTTTCAAGCAAATCTGCAAAAACCACTTGGAGGTTGAAGTCAGCTTTTTGTTGTGTCTTTGTCTCAAGGCGAGACTTGGCAGGACAGTGTGCGCTAAAGTGAGCCCGGGCACAAGACCTTTTGTGATGGGTTTTTGGGGCTTTGGGGATTTGGGATTTGCTGACCTTGTAGATCTCGTGTTGTCGCACATGTATACACGGGCCCATGCAAGGTTTGGCATAGGTTTGTTAGAGGGCGCGTGGAAGCAACTTCCGTGGTACTGGAACTGATTGAGCTATGCTTTCCTTGATGCTTTTTCCCCGCGCTTATCTCTCCGAGCTAAGTATCGAAGAAGTAGCTAAGAAGTAGTCTATCTAGCTAGGTAGCTTGCTCTTGAAATCACTGAGCGCCTAACCTTCAATGAACTTGCCAACTAGCAAACTGAGCCAACTGCCAAACTGGTAAATTAGCTAGCTGGCTAGCTTGAGGCCAGCAGCTAGCAAGCAGCCTGCTAGCCAATGGCTGGATCATTAGCTCGCCAATTGGGTCACTACCAGGAAATTGGCTACCGGCGTACAAGCCAGCTGCCTGACAAGGTAGAACCCAACCTGCCTAATCAGGTAAAAAGTCCGCCCGGCCACCCGCCCGCACAGCCCCACACTCACACCCACACCCACACACCCCCACACCCCCACACCCCCACACCCCCACACCCCCACACCCCCACACCCCCACACCCCCACACCCCCACACCCCCACACCCCCACACCCCCATCCCCCACACCCCCACACCCCCACACCCCCACACCCCCACACCCCCACACCCCCACACCCCCACACCCCCACACCCCCACACCCCCACACCCCGCCACACCCCGCCACACCCCGACACCCCCACACCCCCACACCCCACACACAAACACACGCACGCACACACGCACGCCTGCCCGCCCGCCCACACGCAGCCGCGCATGCAGGCAGGCACGCACGACGCACGCTCTTGCATGACACACGCACACACGCGCAGACGTACACGCACATGCACACAGGCACGCGCACGCGCACGCGCAGGCTCGCTCGCAGACAGACACAACACAGACACACAGACACGCAGACACACAGACACACAGACACACAGACACACAGACACACAGACACACAGACACACAGACACACAGACACACAGACACACAGACACACAGACACACAGACACACAGACACACAGACACACAGACACACAGACACACAGACACACAGACACACAGACACACAGACACACAGACACACAGACACACAGACACACAGACACACAGACACACAGACACACAGACACACAGACACACAGACACACAGACACACACGCACGACCTGCTGTGCTGGTCTGATGCGAGTGAACGTGCAGGTGATTTGCCCCCCCAACCCCAGCGCGCAGGCCGTCCTTGATGGTCGCAAGCGATCACATTGTCGCGAGTGAGTCAATACTGATGGTCGCGAGGGAGCCCCGTACCCTCACACGCATCTTGAACTAGTTTGGAATTGTTAGAGTGTCTGACTTAGCTGCATTCAGATAGCCGCTTAGACTCATGAGAGTCGGCCAGGAGCGGAAGCCTGCCAGGAAATCCCTTCCAGAAGTAGAGGTGCTGGGAGCGAAGGCGCGGAAGCGTGTCTGAAGCAAACGGCCGCGTTTGTTTTTTTGGAGAGAAGCAAATGCTTACCAGCCATTTGTTTGGCACTCCTGCTGGGGGAATCACTCAAATATCATTGGAGTGCTGCTTGCAACAGGCAGCTTCTGTTGTGGTTTGAAGGACAAATCGGAAACACCCATTCGAGAAGAGTCGCTCAATGAAAGCTCAAGCAAGCAACAGTGGTGGACGGCAGAGGGGGATCAAGCCAAGGACGTTGCCGGTAATGTGCCAAACTGCCCAAAAAAGGCCTCGCTCAGCTTTCCTCTAAGTGGTGGCTTGAAGCCAAGAAACAACACAACAAGACAGAAGGCAAGTTAGAGCCAAACAGGGGGGCTGAGGCAAATACCGTCGACCCCGGATCGCTGAACCCGTCCTACAAATTGGGGTGAGTGTTCCTGATGATTCCCCCCCACACCCGGGAACAAGGCATTGCACAGTCCGCTTGCCACGCGGAAGGTAGCCAAAGTCGAAGAAGACTTCGGCAAGGCTCAGGCCAACATCTCTCAAATTATGGAGCTACCTGCCAGGCAAAGCGTCTCGTGCCCATTTGAGCGAGGAATGCCCCCGAGTTCCTCCTTTCCCACACCCAATGAACTACTGACAGTTGCTCATATGGTTGTCAAACCAAACTCACTCAGTTTGGGAGCGCCAGATGTCACCTTTTGCCATTTGCGCAGCTGACGCGGCCATTTGCTGTGAGCGCATCATTTCGCAGCCCAGGGTCCTCCACCAACGTTCCAATCGCCGTCGCAACAAATAGGCGGGCTTGCCGCAAGAGATGAACTCTCCACCAACTGAACTCTCCTCGCCACACTTTTCCGGAGATCGACTGAAGGGTTCGCTGTGCCTTCGCAGGTCCGGACGGGTCGAAGGGCCCCAAGGGGCCCGAGGGCAGCCCTTGCGTCTCACGCCATCCCGAAAGGGAGGATTCTGATTAGCCCCTTCGAGCGGAAAAGTTTGCGGATAAAAATGAGACGGGTTGCGTGGGAGGAGCCAAGAATGGGAAGGTTCTACAAGCTTCCCAGGCTGGCAAGACGAGCACCCTGAACATGCTCACGGGTGCGATTCTGCCCTCTGGCGGCCATGCTTTCCTGGGTGGCCATGATGTGGTCCAGGAGCAGTGGAAGGCGGGAGGACAAATATCACAAGTACTACATGTATACTAATATATATGGTACCCCCTGATGGACCCTGGTTTGGTGCGTTTGACGTGTATTTTTCCAGTGTTCTGTGCCTTTTTTGCTTGCTGGATTTTGTGTCAAAATTAGGGGTGTGCCATATGCATGTATGATATGCATGCATGCATGTATGCTTGCATATGTGACCAAAGCGATGACATCAGCATCTGCGTTCGGAAAGAGTTTGAATACATCCAAGAGTATTAGAACAACGCAGATTGTTTTCACTTTTTTTCAACACAAATTCCTGGATTCAAGATTTAAGATTCAAGAATCTGAGAAAATATTTATGGGAATCTTGAATCTTTTTCGTTGAAATACTTCAATCTCGAATCTTCAATCCAGTGGTAAAATACGTTCGAAATTTTAGAACAACTTGATCATTTTTAGGGTTTGACCAGGATGGATGATTCTCAGGAAAGTTGTTGTTTGTGCAATCCTCGATATTGAATCCTCAATCCAGTGGCAAAGCACTTTCAAGGTGAGAAGAACTTGAATGTTGTTTGGGTTTGGCCAGGATTGACAATTCTCAGGAAAGTTTTCTGTGTGCTCTTCAATCTTGACTTTTCCATCGAGTGGTAAAATACTTTCAGGTGCTTAGCGATCCAGTGGAAACACTTTCAAGTTATTAGTGCTCATTTACTACCTCCACCTTTCGAGATAGAATGAAATTTGTTTTCCTGTGCAAATAGAACTTTACATACAACTGATTCAGCTAGAATCACTGTTTCGAAATAGTTTTAGATTTTGAACCTCTCTTCCATTGAACCTTTTGGAACACAGTCTAACAAGTTTAATTTCGGGCTATTCTTATGCTGCAAAAGGCCCAGGTTATAAATAACACAAATCGTATTTCGAATTTCCTTGTAGAAGTCCCTTAAAGGTTTAGCCACATTTAATATTAAGTATATTTGAGAAGTAGTCTCTATTTAATTGCTATTATCAAAAGCTAATTGAATTGTGTTCGTAGTAGATTATATCTAACACTTAGATTGTATTTGGGAAAATCTCCTATCTAACTTCTGCTGTTAAAGATTAGTTGAAGTTTGCCCGAAACTATACTTATATTCTCATGTAGCTCCTATTTGGAAAGGATTTGCTTTTATGAGCTGTAGTTGAGCAATGTTGATCATAAACAAATGTTTGTAAACGATATCCTAACCAAATTATATTCAAAATTCCAATTCTTGTTAGAGTAAAATCCTATTTGGAAAGGGTATCATATTGAAACATTTCGGAGGACTCCCAAATTATGAGGCTTTGGGGATCCACAATTGGAAATTCGAGAACTTAAATCTCGAGATTCTAGATTTACCATCCCGAAAGGCAGCAAAACCAGGCTCCATGGGGGGGGGGGTTGGCATATATATATGTGTATATATATATATATGTATAAATACATAAATAATAAATACAGAAAGAAATACAGAAAGAAGTACATAATATATACATATGTAATGTATACCTTTGGTAACCCATTTTGGTATCCAAGCCGACGTCCTTCGCGCTCGCAAGGTGCGGCGGCTGCTGGGCTACTGCCCGCAGCACGACGCGTTGCTGGACCGCCTCACGGTGCGGGCCTGAGCGGTCGAACCAAGAAGCTGGCCGGAGGTTTCAGGGGACCTCAGAGTCTGACGTTGACTCCTGAAAGCGGCTAACATGCTGCAAGGTCGGAGGACCCGAGAAGGAGTGTCCTTCCTTGCTGAAAGGGGGACCCAAGATCGGGACGGTTCATCCAGATGTAGAGTCATTGAACTTGGCGACCGTTTAAGCCTACCTTGTCGGAAAATATATGGCCCCGTACAGTACAGGGGTAGGTTTTTGTCTCGGAGGTATGCCACATTTCTCCCGAAAGAAATCCGCCCGGAGTCACAGGAGTGCTCCCGCTAGGTGCGTGAGCACTTGGAGCTCTTTGGGCGAGTCAAGGGCATCCGCACGGCGGTCACCTGGCCAAGGTGAAAAAGACATCGACGTCAACAGGCAATGCCATCATGCGGTCCTGCTTTGCTTTGTTAAATCCATGAACTGGAACCCCTTTTACAATTACATGGCAACAACAAATTGGTTTTGGAACAGGATCCAAACAATTGAGCAGCGAAGCCTCCCACTGTCCAGGATTGTAGCAAAGCCTCTGTGAACTCAATTGCTGTTCGGTTTCCGTTTGCTGTTGGTTTCCCTTTCAGGGCAAGCAGGATTCTAGCATAGCCTCTTTAAGCTCAACTGATGCTTGATTTGAGCACTCTGCAAAAGGGCAGTCCTTATTATTTGACCCATTGGCCAAGGAGCTTCGTCGACTTTGCGACCAGATGATGGAGGATACACAGAATGCATCTCATTTTTCAGTCGGCCGGGCACCGCCAGGACCTTTCCTTGATGCCGCACGTGGACAAGCTGGCCATGACGCTGAGCGGCGGCAACAAGAGACTCTCAGCCGCGTGTAGAAGTGCTTGGTGTGCTGAGTGGGCAGTTTCCTCAGGCACAACAGACTATGTGTGTATAGGTATCTAGAAATGCATACATGAATGCATGATATGTGCATCAAAGCCAGGTCGACCTCTCTGAACGTTTGGTGACTCGTATTCCCATGGCTTTTGAGACACGTGCGCATGCACAAACACCAAGCTTGTCACAAGCATATAAGCACGTTCGCCCAAGCCCTCAAACACCCCCTTCCCGGGAGCAGGTGGAGGTCTTTTCTCAGAGCGCCTTCTTCTTTCGGGGTGCAAGGGATGCAAGTTTCCCAAGGGAAGCTGTCGCTGGCCATCTCTCTGATGGGTTCTCCGCCCCTGGTGCTCCTGGACGAGCCCAGCACCGGGGTGGACCCGGCCGCAAGGCGCCTCATGTGGCGCGCGCCCCGGAGATCTGCGAGCGGAGCGGATTCCTGGAGCCATCAGTTTCATGGGGAGTGGAGTTCCCGCAATGACACCCTCGCCTGCGTGATTTTTTTTTTGCAATTGCAAAAAGAACTCCGGAGAAACTCTGGTCATTTGGTGTGCCCTGTTTCACATGTGTTGCATGAGCCCTTGGCCTTCTCTCGTGGGCTTTTGTGGTTCCTTTCGATCTTGGTTTCGTGTAACACAGAAGAACACTCCCGAGGCACGTCATCTCCTCCGTGTCCACGCTGAGACGGGAGAGCACCGCGTGGTGGCCCAGTTCTCTCTCACTCCGGAGCTCCGGAGCTGAGCGGCCTGTTGTCGGATAGGTGATCCTCACCACCCACAACATGGAGGAGGCCGAGGCGCTCTGCTCCCGCGTCGGCATCATGGCCCCGGCCCCAGTTGACTGAAGCCGAGCCTTGGGGCCTTCGAAGTCGCGCTTTCGGGGTCCTTCGGGGCCCTTCGGGGTTCGGTGAGGTGGGCGGGCGGCTGCGCTGCCTGGGCACCAACCAGCGGCTGAAGGCGCGCTTCGGCCAGGGCTACCAGCTGGAGGCGCGCGAAGCATAGCTTCCGCTGATGAAATCGACGCAGGGGTCGCCTCCCGTAAATTCCTCCCAACCGGCGCCGGGAGCGGCCTTGGTTGCATGATTTTTCACCCTTGGGAGCGCTGGATATGATACCTTAATACAATCAGCAACATCAATGGCTGATGGCTCTGGATTTGGAACAGGGACCAAGGGCTGCTCAGCGGCTGATCCCTCCAAGCAACCGTTCGCCCTTTTCTCGCTCTCTCTCACACTTTGCGTATCTCAAATCAGAATCAGGTGGCCTTTTGGTGGGGACCGGGGGCCCGCAACAGGTTCCACTTTGTATTTGAGACCTCACTTCTCAAAAGGAAGCGGGGATGTGACGGGAGGTGCGGCTGCACGAGCAAAAGACGGAGGAGAGCGATGCCGCGGCGCTGGACATGGCGGCGGTGAGGCAGCGCTGCGCCGAGCTGGGCCAGCCAGGTGCGCACCTTTCCCTCCCAGTCGTTGGCGTCTTTGTTTCTTCTTTCTCTGGCTTGCTGGTTTTGTTTTGCGTGTCGATTTGTATGGTGCTCAGTGCGTGTGTGATTCTGTGACTTGGACGAATGGGCAGATGGATGCACGCTTTGCACGCTTTGCACGCGTTGTGCTTTGCCAGCTTCCGAGCTTTCCCAGAGAGTCGTGCAGGCCGGGCCTCTCTGATCCGCGAGGGCTGTGAGGAAGGCTTTCTTGCCACGTGGACGCACTTAGCATCGCTCGCATTGAAACGTGTCACAAATTGGGAGTGAACAAAGGCAGAATGAACCACACAATACATGTGGGAAGCCCCGATTTTTTAAGCACACAAACTCCATTGGCAGACCTTGACGGTGAGGTCTTTGACGCCCTGTCTCGAGAAGGACCGCTGATCGCCGGGAGTCTCTGGGCACTTGACCCGTTACGCGGTTCGGTCATTTGCTCCATGCACCTTTTTTCTTTATAACATCCAACCGCGCAAACCAGATTCATTAATAGTTGAAATCAACAGCGGATTGTCTCAGTGAATTGAGACGCAGGCCAACGGCTGTGCGGGAAACATTTGAGGCTGCCTACTCCATGGTCTGTTTTCCAGGAAATGGGATAAAGAAGTTGTTGACAAACATAGACATGTTTTAAGAATGAGTTTGCGAGCCAAAAGGCTTTAGTGTTAGATCTCTTGATCACCAGTCGTTCCATTTACCAAGAATTCTTGGACAACGAGTCATATAAAGATTACACTCTCTTTAGGAATTACCTTAAGATGAGACAAGAATGAAGATCTGGATGTCATTGCATTCCTTGAAAGGTGGGCAAATCCTATAAACAATCCACCTAACATGTCAGGCTTCTCTTTTTTGTATTCCTTGGGAGCTCGCCCCACCGCGCCCGCGCCCGCGCGGCGCAGGCGCGGTGCCGGCGGCGACCTTCGCCCAGTGGTGGGCCTTCGAGGACACCGCGGCGCAGCTCGAAGCCTTTTTGGAGCGGAAGTTCCCGGGCACGAGACAGCTGGAGAGGCGCGGGCGTGGGGTGCTTTGGTCCCAAGCACGCGATTGGCGACACTGGATTGGCGCATGGCGATTCGGCCACCTCTTTCGCAGCCCAGCCGGCAACCTGTGTTTCCTGGCGGAAGGCCGTTCTGAGGTTTTGGCGGAAGGGGGAAGGCCGTTCCCCCCCACAGATCCTTTGTGCCGTGCGTCCGGGCGTGCGGCAGGCACGAGCACAGCTTCCGGTTCCGGCTGCCCAGCTGCTCGCTGGGGGAGGTCTTCAAAGTCATGGAGGAGAGGAAGGCGGAGCTGCAGCTGGACGAGTACGCGGTGAGTCAGCGCCCGTGGCCGCACATGGGACCATGTGACCGAGCCACAAGGGACGTAGCCAGAGGGAACCAAGTCCGGAAGCTCCGGAAGCTCCGGACTTGGGACAGCTTCCCTTTAAGGTTCTCTGAAGGTGGCACACGGGTTCAAAGGAAGCGATGGCACCTCGCATCGCGTGCGGCGTGGGGTGCGTTGGTTTTGAAGCTGTCAGCGCTGCTTCGTTCGGAAAACTCGAAGGACCAGCCTGGAGCAGATCTTCAACGACTTCGCGGCGCTGCAGCAGGAGGAGACCGGCCCGGTGCAAGGCGCGGGTCCCGCCGTCTCGCTTCCTCGCGCCCAGTCGGGTTGCCCGATGCCGATTAGGAGCCTAGTAGCAAATCAAAGGGGAAAACCATGCCGCGTTCTTGTTGGATGGCTCGTAGATATGGACCCTTAGTCCAAGTGGTGGATGTCAGAGTTTCATGTTGGTTGCCCTTGGAACATGTCTGGCAAGTTTGCAGATGTTTGAGTGAGCGGAGGGTTCAGAAGCGGCCCTTTGGCCAAGGCTCCAGCAAAAGAGACTGCCATAGAGTGTAGTTGTCCGTTGAGCCGAGAGCCCAACCCCACCCATTGGGTCGAATGAGAAGCACGCCTGCAGGACTCTTCGTGGAGGGGAGGTCGGTCCAGGAGGCGCCGTTCGCACGGAAGCCGCCCGTCTTGTAGCCTCGTCGCTTGCGAGGCGCGAAGCGGTTCTGTAGAACTGATGGCTGGGGTGTGAACGCTGAGCCGAGCCATGTGCCCGGAAAGCTGGGCGCGGGCTTCGGAGTTCTGAGTGATTGAAGACACATCGGTTTGCGTTCCAGGCGCACCGGTTATCGGGTGTGCTTGGCTCCCGTACAGAGAGGCAGGAGCATTGGCTCGCCTCGATGCGCCCTCTCCGGTGGAGAAAAAGGGGGGGGCAGCTATTGGGAGTCGAAGCCACAAGTCGACCAGTTTCTCAAGTCGACAGGTTCGATGTTGTTTTTGGGGGCATGTACTTTTATCATAGCATGTTTCATGCCAAAGCCCAACGCGGCTTTTGGCTCAAGCTTTTACCCCTGGCGAAATAGACCTTGCCGCAACCGTCGCCATAGTGGCGCGGCACCGGGCACTGTCCGCTCCCTGGAAAAGGAGCGGCCGGCAGCTGGTGGCGCCGCTCATCGGCGGGTTCGGGTCGAGGACGGTTCGAGGGGTTGCGCTCTTGGTTTGCTTTGCTCGCTTGCTGCGCTGCATTGTTTGCCTGCCTGGTTTGCTGCTTTGTGCTTGCTTTCGGTTGTCTCTGCCCTTGCTGGGTTCATTCATCTTGTGGTTAAAGGCACCCTGTTTTGGTTCGTTGTTTGTGCCAGCCGGGGGCACCGCTTTGCCCTTGGGACTGGGGGACTTAAACAATCTCTTCTTGTTGGTGGGATTGGGCCTGTTTATTCTCTCCCGAAATACTGTTTCAAACCCTTTCGCAGGTTATCAGCCGTAGGATTCGTCCTCGGTTGGCACCGCGAACCCCTTTCTAACAACCCTGCAGGCATCGTAGGGTAGTGTAAATAGTATGGCGGGAATCACTGAGGATGGACCTCATGTGGTGACCGATGAATGGGTTCTCGGCCAGGCCGGAATCTTGGACGTTGTGAATGACGACCAAGTGCCCGGACAGCCGATGTTTTCCGGTCCTGACTTTTTGTCGGACCACACTTTTTCAGAAGCAATGCCTTCAGGAAGGTCCAGTGCTACTCGCACTGATGACCTATCGTCTGATGCCTCAAGAGCTAATCGCTCTCAGGGTCATGGGGCTAATCGTTCTGACCATGATGATTTCGTCTCAGGACGTGATGATGACGAGCCCGGTATTGCACCTGGAGCTCAATCCTCATCTTTCCCGGAGCTGATGAATATTGGTCAGTCCGAGTTTCGTGACTCTCGAAATAGCAGTAGACCTGTGCCAACCAGTAGTATAGTTTTTCAAGCGCTCGGTAATCCCGAACCTGGTACATCCAGTGGAGTTGCATTTGACGTTCATCTGCCGACCGAATCCGGTGGGCTCGATTGGAGAGCCTCATGGCCCAACGACGGAAACATTTTTGGTATGGATTTTGCCGCATGGATGCCAGGGCCACCTGCCCCGTCATCTTTCCCGCATTTCCAAAGCCCAAAACGGGCTGCCGGAAGCGACGAATTCGTGCTACCTTTGTCAATTGAGAATCTCAATCCTGACGTGGCCAGCCGTAACGTCAGGCCAAGGCCGTCGGTAAACCCGACCATGAGGAACATGTCCCCTCCCCCAGGACTTTCAGGATTTGAGAGCCCTAGGGAGCGTAATATCGTAGATAGATTGGATTTGCATCCCAGTCCAACCCCAAGCAAACGATCAAGGTCAAATTCGACTGGATCGCATAGGGCTAGGGGGATGGATCGGGAAACTGCCCATAGGGTTAACCCCAATGCGCGGGACTCAGGACGCGGTCGATCAGGTGACCCAGCGTCGATCGTTGGTAGAGATCCGCTAAACGCGGACACGTTGATTAACGTGCTTGATGGGATCGAAGCATTCCAGGAGGAATTCAATAGGTCGAGTGGCCCGAATGTGCAGCCTTTTCGCCCTACGCCCAATGCGGCTTCCTTTCTCGCCATTGACAACACAGACGGAGCTGATGTTCCGATTGAATCTGAATCTATGATGGCATCAAGTTCTAATCACAACAACACCGTCGGCAGCGCTACCGATGTTGAATCGATGTCTGAGTCTAGAGCGTCCAATGCGACTGATTTGCATGACGTTGTCATTGCTGATATGAAGCCTGAAGTTCCTATGCGGACTGATAGGCCGGTAGTCCCCAAATTGTTTGTGACAAAGGGTCTAGGCATGCCACAGCCATCAGCTGTTCGTGATGCCAGAAGATCTGCGCCGTATCAGAGTCAGTCTCCGAATCGGAGCGAATTCCCACGGCCATCAACGGCGGTACAAGATGATTTCAGGACACCTCCGAGATCTAATCCGATCATGGTTGATTTGTCCACTCCTCGAGATCGCGGATCAGGATTTGGTCCTGCGAGTGAGGAGCAACCCAACGAGGTTGCTGATCTTGTAACAGCCCTTGAAAGAGGGAGAGTGGACTCTTCGGTAAGTGCGATCATTCATCGCCTGGTTGCTAAGGTCGAAGACCTTGGGCGTAGGAATGATAGAAGTGATCAATGCATCAAGCAGCTCTCCACTGAGGTTAACTCGTGGAGGGCCAAATACGACCAATGCGTCCATGTGAATAGCACGTGTACGCAGGCTGCGAACGCGGCCATGCAGCTGTCACAAGGGACTAAGGACATCGTGACCGAGCTTGGCCAACGCGTCAAGATCGTTTCCAATCGCATGATAAGCATAGGCGATGCCCTAAATGAGCGAGCCAGCTATGATGATGTTGCTCGCTCCGTCACCCAAGTTCAAACTGTTTTTGAATCTCTTTCTGATCGAGTAACCGGGCTTATAGCTCGTGTCGATATGATCGAGAGATCTCTAGTGGAGAGCCAATCCAACCATCCTGCGATTGGTGGGGTAAACCTCAAAATCGAGGACCTGTCCACTAGGGTATGTCAGATTGATAGGATGATGCAAGATGTCGAACAATGCTGGACCAATAATAGGGACGGCATAAAGTGGGTTAAAGACCAACTTTATGAGACACAAGCCAACCTTGAGATAAAGTCGAGGGACTGCAAGTCCTACACGGACAAGCAAAATACTCATAACATGGCCGTTTCGACTACGCTCAACAGTAAGCTCGAGCAAATGCTCGAGGTGCTGGGTAATACGGCCCAGAGAATTAATTCCCTCGAGTCAAGGCACTCGAATCAGGCATCAAGTAGTGGATTGAACGATCGCACAGGAGGAAGACGTGCCGCGTCCTGTACTCCGGATAAGCGGCCACCTCCACCTGGCCCTCCTGATGATGATCCTCCACCACCTCCTCCTCCAGATCGGCAAAGCCCAGGAGGAGGGGGGAAGAAGAGTGCTGCCGGTGGGAACCCTGGCGACCCTGGTAAACCCAGGTGTAAATACGTAGGTGATGGTTATAATCACCTCATGGCCGAGTTTCACTGCAAAGGATGCAGAGGTGATATTTGTGAGTATTGTTTCTCGTTCAAAGAGAACTTGTGTGAAGAATGTTCCCGTAACGGACCCCGATGCGGTGTCTGTAGGGAGAGCTCGTTCCTGACTAAGGGAATTGAGTGTCAGTTTTGCAAGACCTACTACTGCACCAGGCATTCTGCTGGGCAGGGTGACTACAGGAGATTTGGATTTGTCCAGGGTCCCTGTTGTCTTGCGTGCCTTAGGGATGAAACTAGGAGAAGAAGGGATCCCGATGGTAACCGTGTCAGGAATAGATCGCCTGGAGGCGTACCTGAGACGAACCCGACGCGGTCGTACTCGCCGCCTCTGCGCACCCGTTGACAGATTCCGTGACACTCCAACTGGGGGTCAACCCAACGCGGCTGACCTTCAGAGTCCTCCGAAGGCTACGCAACCCGTGCCCCTGGATAAACGTGAAACCGGATACTATCCAGGATTTGATCCCAACGGAACGAGGCCGAAAGATCCTTCAGGCCTTGAGCCGCCGACCACGCGTGGCCCCGATCCTCCTGACAAGAAATGTCGGATGTGTGATCGGGATATTCCTGACCCCAGCAAAATTGAGGAATGTAAGATATGCATGAAAAGGGCATGTGAGATTTGCATTCCGAAGGCTACTCGCCTTTGTCCTGTATGTGCATTGTCAATCGGTAGTTCTCAGGTTCCACAGCATCTTTTCGGAACTGGTGGCGGCGGGTACGGTAGCCACCATGATCCGAACTGTACAGCTGCGACTAAGTGCATTCCCATAGACCTCCCGCCAGAGCCCGACGCGGCTGGGCTGAGGGTATGGATAGCCAATATGAAGGAAGCTGTTAGCAATGCCTACAGCTATGATGGACTTTACGTCATCAATTGGCTAACTGAAGTCGAGAAGGCAAAGACCTTTGATGAACTGGATGGGGAATGTAAATACCACATCCTTGAAGCCAGGTTCAATGCAGCCATTCGGAAGTGCATCAAGACTGTTGCAATTATCGATAAGATTAATCGTCTCACCGAAGCCGCTCAACGCTCCAACAATCGCATCAAGAGTAGGCAGATCCTGTGGCTCTTATACGACCACTTAAGGACTGCGAATATCGGAGAGCAATCGTTCAGGATAATCGAGCTCTCAAACTTGCGATGCAGTGTGTCATCTTTCTATACTGAAGAGGAGCGACTTGAAAGGTTCATCGCGAAATGGGATCACATCCTTGCGGGTCTCGATGAACCGCTGACCGAACAGGTAAAGCGGTCGCTATTCAGTGAGAAGGTTAGACACCTCAACTGTTTGGCTCATGATATCAGGGAATGGGATAGGAACATATCCAACCCTGATGTTTGTAGCTATGAATGGCTTCGTGCTCGTTGCAAGAACGAAATTGACCGGTGGAGGGTTCGTAAGAACCAGGTCAATATGCACAAAGACTTTTACGAACGATCTCAGTCCAGGGACAGGGCCCAGAAACCTGGTGCTCAGGCCTAATCGGCCTCCTAGCGATCCAAGGAAGAGGACCGGTAATACCCCAAGTCCTCATCGAAGGGACAGGTACTCTCCCAGGAATCGGGAGCAGGACAAGCGGCGTACGCCTAGCCCTAGGGGCGAGCCCCCAAGGAGGCCCAGGTCTACGTCGCCTGGCGCT